GGCCATTCCCTGGAGAACCAGGTGCTGTATGACATACCACCATCCAGGTACAAGGCGTTAACAACAAATACAGAAGCCAAAGCTGCAAATTCACAGTTATATGATATTCCACCAATGCAACGGAAATTAACATTTCCAGATATCCATCTTTATGATGTTCCGTCCTCACGGGATGTGCTCGTTTTGCCACAAAACGGTAGCTGTGATGTCCCCCCACTTCTCCTGGCTCCAAAGGCTGAGAATCAGATCTCTGAAGAGAATGTTTACGATATTCCAAAAGGTTTGCCCACTGTTGTGGAGTCCAAAAAAGAGCTGGAAAAAAGCAGCGATAATTCTGGAGAGCAAGCATACAGTGCTTCTCCACAGCTTTCAAGAGATGCTAAATTAGAACAAGACAGATTATCTGTTTCTAGTGTGGACAGCAGAACCAGCACCCTCTCTACATCCTCGAACTCTTCTGCTGAGTCTTTTTCTATCTCATCATCAGAAGAGCCTTCCAAAGAAATTAAACTGGACCTTGATGTAGCCATAGAGACCCTGACTAGATTGCAGCACAGTGTATCCAGCTCTGTTGCAAGTTTAATGATCTTTGTGAGTAGTAAATGGAGGTTACAAGAACATCTAGAGAAAAGCATTGAGGAAATCCATAGAGCAGTCGATCACATAAAAGTATCACTGGGAGAATTCTTGGCCTTTGCTCAACTTGTAAAGGTAAACGCCTTTTACCTCACTGATAACAACCTACAGACCAGAATTAAAAAACAGCTAGAAATTCTCACAAACTCCTTCAAAATTTTAACAGAAACAAGAGAAGCTCTAAACAACTGCAGCTGGTCACTAGAGGCTTTGGTCCTCAGGAAACCTCAAAACAACCCAGATGATCTTGATCGCTTTGTTATGGTAGCCCGCACGATTCCAGATGATATCAAGAGGTTTGTATCCATCATCATTGCTAATGGAAAGCTCCTCTTCAGAAAGAAAGAGAAGGAACAAGAAATGAAACAATCAAAAGTTATCCCAGAATACAAAATGGCAAAACAAATTACAGTGCCAAGAAGAAGAGAAATTGATTCGCTTCAAACAAATACTCCTGATAAATGCAATCAAAGTCAGGCCTCTTCTGAGAAGCCAAAAGAAAATGCCACTGAGGACTCTGATTATGTTCAGTTACAGGTTAGTATAACTGGATTTTACTAGCTAGCTACATTAGTCAGGGTTTGCAAACACTAAGCTATTAACATCTTTGTGTTGATGCCAAATTCAGTTTGCATTACTTCTATTGTCCAGACTTCACATGAATTCAGGATTTTGTTAGAGGGCTGGATGGCACATGTAGAATGATCATTTGAAGTGGCACTTGAGAATTTATGCAGCCAGCCAGCACTGAGAAAAGATTTTTAGCTTCTAGGTGGGGATTGCCAATTTGTTGCTTCTAACAAGTAGTTCTCTTCTTGCCAATACATTTTGTTTGACGTGACACTACAGGAGATGTTCACTTTCTAACCTGAGGTATACTGGAAAGCATGCTTTAGTAAAAGGTTTTGCTTTAACAAATTAAACTCTTACTGTGAATTATCAGATTTGTTAGAAGCGTTCTGGATGCTTGTTAGAATCATTCCCCTTACAATTACTGAAATGTCTACAAGAATGTAACTCTTGGTTTCACAAAGTAATGCTGGCCTCTCCTTAGAATTTCAGAAACGTTATGTTTTGCTGATGTTGGTTTCAGTCTTAGCTCTTGCTGGATCAGACATGAAATTTTTAGTAGGAAAAACCCTATAGTTGCTTCTAATAAACATACTATTTTTGTTGCAACACGAAGGCTGCATAGCAAGTAGTTATTTCACCCTGAAAGAAGAGGAAAAACACATTCGTATTTAAATATTTAATGTAAACCATTTCAAATTTGCTTTCATTTTGATTTGTAACAGGCACAGAAAATCATTTCAGGTAAAGAAGTCGCAAGGAAGAGCACAGACTCAAAACCAAAGGTATTTCTGATTTTGAAAACTATTACTTATGAGGACTCCTGGTCCGTGATTGCTAAAATTCAAAGTAATTTGCATTTGGATACACATATCTATACAGAAAGATCGATTTTGGTTCTCCCAGTTAATTTTTCCAGAACTAGTTCTTAGAATTACTGCCAAAAACTTGTGGAAAGCATTTATTTTCCTCAAATGGAATGAACCACTATAGTTTAAAGTTATACTATTTATCTGCTTTCCTTTGTGTATCATATGGGGTAGGGCTGTGAGAGTAGTTCAAATACCTTGTATACCACTGGCATAAGGATTGACTCTACTGTTGTTGTACAGTTTTAATCATTCATAATCCTCATGAAGTCAGCACCATTAAAGATCAAGTCTGAGTGTTTTGTACTGTCTGAAAGCCTGAAGTCCAGACCATATAAAGGATTGATGTTACACTACAGCACTTTGTGTGCTATCCATTATTAAAACTGTATTCAGTGACAATCAGGAGAAAACACCACTTTGAAACTGAGTACATTATGGAAAGAGAAATGATTGTAAAAGACTGCTGGGATGCAGCAATTTGGAGACTATTAACTAACAAAACTCCCTGTAAGTGAAGGATATCAGGTAGAGTAAAAAAACAATCAGTGTGCCACCAAGCTGAGTCTATTTATTTTTATTTAACCTTTTTCCAGGTTTTGCCATCTGCAAAGAAGACTGTGATTCAAAGCAAGCAGGACTCTGCAAAAAAAATAGCTCTCCCTGAGCACTGCAGGCTGTGTTTCGGTGCACTTCACAAGGCAATTGGTGTATTTACTTTGAGTCTGAACAACAACCAGCCACCCGAAGTCTTCATATCCCACAGCAAATTGATCATTATGGTGGGACAAAAGTTAGTGGATTTTCTCTGCCAAGAGACTCAAGACAGGGATGCTCGGAACGATGTTCTCCACAGCAGCAGCCGGTTCTGCAGCCTCTTGAAGAATCTGGCTCTTGCTACTAAAAATGCTGCAATACAATATCCAAATGCAGATGCCATCAGGGAACTTCAAGACCAAACTGAGGAGCTGTCTAAATACATACAGCAGTTTAGAGCAATGGTGGAGTGAAAGACACTGCTGGTTTTTACAGGTTCTTCATTGTTGTTGCTCCTCTGGCATGAGGCAGCCAAAGGACGCAAAAGAAGCTCAGTGACACTAACTTTAAGTCACCTCTAAGAACCCCTGCTGGGAAGTTCCCTGGGTGCTGGTGCACTTTTAGTAGGTGGAGATCCACACAGCAGCAGATGTAGAAAATGATTTGTAGAATTAAATCTGTATTTTCTTCTCCATTGCTCAGATCCTGTCTGATAATGTCCTCGTCTTAGTGGCTGGGCAGGAATGTTTGTTGTGTATTAGAGCAAAATTATTTTATTATCTGGCTGATTTCTTATTTTTTAATTTCTATATAGGTCAGATAAATATTTTCTCTTTATTTTTACTTTCTTATTCAGGTATGTCAAGTCTCTTTTCAGACTTTGCTGCACAATGTTCTGTAATTTATAATATCCCATCATTGTTTCCTGAGGACTTTACTCACAATTTCTAATTATATTTTTCTTTTTCAAACAGCAGAGATAATTATTTTTTTTAAATACACAAATGTGATGCATGTATTATAAGACAAAATCTGGCAGGTACTGCACAAATCCTAGATGTTAATGGGAAATGCTCTAGCTGGTAGCTGAGCACAGAGGAGAGTAAACTTGGAGGAGTCCTGGCTCCTGGTAAATCTACAGGGAGCTACATTATCAGCATAGAACCCTAGAACACCAGGTTGGAAGGGATCCCAAGGATCACCTGGTCCAACCTTCCTAGGCAAAGCATGACCTAGACTAGTTCTCCCAACACCTTGTCCAGCTGAGTATTAACAGTGTCTAGGTTGGGGAACTCACCACTTCTCAGGGAGGTTCTGTCTAATGGCTTTCATTGAGAAATATTTCCCTCGTGTTCACTTGTAATCTCCTCAGGAGTGACTTGTGCCCATCACCTCTCGCCTGTTCCATGTAACTCCTTGTAAAAAGGGAGCTGCTCCATCTTCCTTGTTCTACCCTTTAAATAATGGGACAGTGGTCCTGCCGCAGCCCGGAGCTGTTCACAGCATTGCTCCAGCTGAAACAACAATTTCAGTCACTGAACAAGCACAGGCTTTGGAGCAAAGCCTTGCGAACGGGACAGGGCCTGTACTATGTTGGCCTGTGCAACTTGCCAGACTTTATCCCCACATGGCCTGGGTCTTAACTACAACAGTGGCCGGCTACCACCCAGGCAGATCGTACTCCTGAGTTGTGATCTTCCCAATTAGTTTATTTTAAAGGTTTTATCTGAACTTTCAAAGTCGGGCCTTTATTGGCAGTGTCTTTGTCCAGGACCATTACCTTTGTGAGCAGTTACAGCTAATTGGCACTGCCCCACTGCACACACGCTGTGGAAACCCAGCTCATCTTCCTTGGCTACACCTCCCCTTGGCAGTCGCCACGGCTTTTACCGCTATTTCAGCACCGACATTTGTCAATGTTTGCACAGCTCGGTGTAGTAAGCGCAGCTCACGTTGGCTCTGAGCTGTATTAAACTCGTCCCTGGCGTGATCCATCACCGCCTCTCCTGCCTCAGCGGCCCGGGCAGCGGTGAGGCGAGCAGGGGCACTCCGCGGCCCACCCCTGCAACACCTCGTTTGGCCATAAATCACCCAAAATCGGTGTCCGATGAGGGGTTTGCTCATAACAAAGGGGGAATCCCGCTGCAGTGAGATGCGGGCAACGACGAGCCTCCGGGTGACCCAACCCGTCAGGAGCAGTTGCGCCCCCCCCCCGGCGCGCGGTGGTACGCCCCGCTCCCCTCCGGCACCACCCAATGGACTCGCCCACCCCGCCCCGTCCCATCCCTCCCTCCTTGAGCTGTGGCCACGCCCCCAGCCGGCTGGTTGCTATGGAGCTGAGATGAGTCTCTCTGTGTGCGCCGGAAGTGCTTCTCACTTCCGGAAGTGTTTGTGTTGTGAGGAAGTGGACGCGGAAGCGCGGTGGGTGGGGGAGCAAGATGGGATGTGATGGTGGTACCATCCCCAAGCGCCATGAGCTGGTCAAGGGACCCCGCAAAGTCGAGAAGGTTCGAGGGGGCGGCGGGGAGCGCGGCCGGGAGTGCGGCCTGGGCCGTCGGGCCGGCCTTGTGAGCCTAGGCCCTGCGAGTATAGGCCCTGCCCGCGGCCTATGAAGAGGCCCTGGGAGGGCCTGGTGAACGCCGCCCGGGCCGCTGGCCTTAGCAGTTGGCAGCGGGGGGGAAAGCGCTTTTCTGCGGGTACCGCCTGGGGGTCTGCATCTGTGGCGCTAGTGGGAGCTGTAGGGGAAATCTGTGGCTCTCCCAGAGGGCTTTACAGGCACAGGGCACTCTGCCTTCACCTAGGGGCGTGGTGTCTGATGGTAATGCTTTTAATAAGTAGTTTAATAGTGTGGCCAGACTATGAGCCATTTCCATCTGCCTGCATTCTGAATGGTGCTTGGGCTCTTTCTGGCTGATGTTTTAGGGTAATGGATATACAGTGGCATCCCATGTGCATGTAGGTGGATGAAAGTTGGGGAAAATCTCACAAGAAGCATTAGAAAACTTGGATAAACTTTGCGTGTTGGTGTAAAATAAGTAAATAAAATCCTTTTCCTCTCCACACCAGGAAATTGGAGTAGGTGTGAATCTCAGCCTTTCTTTTATGGCCTAATCTGTTATAAAATTTGTGGATTTAGACTGGAGGAGCAGGTATAGTCTGATATCCCCATATTTGCCTTTTTTGTTATCTTGGTCCTTACACGGAGTGGATCTGGTAGTTGACCCAGGCAAGGGGGAGATGCAGAATTAGAGGGAAGAGGGCAATGGAGAAAATGTGAAGAACAAAAAAAGAATAAAGCGGGAAAGGGACAGGTGGAAGTGGCAAAAAATAAGAAAACTGAGTCAGATGAGGGAGATAGGTCCCCAGTCCCATAATGCAGGAAAAGTTAATACATATAAACTCTCAAAGCTGATAATGAATTTTTGCTAAACAGTTTTGCAAAAGCTATTTAATGGGTAAGCTTTGAGTGTAGAAAGTAGGTTTGGTAAGATACCGGGGGATTTGATTAAAGCTCCGAGTATTACTTGATTTTTATGGTTAAGTAATAGTTGCAAATACAAAAGCTGTTTTTAAATCATGAGTATTGTTCTTCCTTCAGGCTGACAAAAATGCTGAATTGGTGGCAAAATGGCACTACTGTGCTCTGAGTCAGGAGAAGTTGCGTCGCCCAATTGTGGCCTGTGAGCTGGGCAGGTATGAATGTTTCCTTATAGACCACTGTAATAAAAGGTGCTAATTTATTATTGAAAGAATGTTATGAGAATCAAATATGTTTACTTTTTTTTTTTTTATATTTCAGGTTGTATAATAAAGATGCCATCATTGAATTTTTGTTGGATAAGTCAGCTGATAAAACTCCCATGACAGCTGCATCACATATCAAGAGCATCAAGGTAAATAGGTTGTGTCAAATAGTTCATAGTGCCGTGAAAGTTAAAACATGCAACAAGACCTCAGTTTGCTTGTCTTCTTAGCATACACTAAAAGTGTTAAAAATAGCAAATTACACTAAAAAAAATCTTAGGGAATGTTATCATGGCTTAAGAATGATTATTAAATACCTTAAGACTTACATTTTTGTTTTTCAGAATGTAACAGAACTAAAGCTTGCAGATAATCCAGCTTGGAGTGGTGATAAAGAGAGTATAAAAGGTGACAAATATGATGACATGCAGTCTGCACGATTTATATGCCCAGTGGTGGGACTGGAAATGAATGGAAGACATAGGTCAGTATTGAAGTTTCTGGATTTTGTTTTAAAAATCATTACTGTGCTAAACAGAATATAGAGCAGGTAAAAAATGTTAGAATTGATAATGTTGCAAATCACATACATGCTCAAGCCTTTGTGGGGAATATTTGTCTTCCTTTCAAAAGGAGGGAGTTGAGACTGCTAAGTGTTTTGTCCTTTCATAATCAAGAGGAAAGATAAAAAGTTAACTCTTTCATAAATTAATTTATACATGCAATAAAGGAATACAGAGGGCAATGTTTGCAGAGAAAAAGTGACTAAAAGTTGTTTGGGGGGCTTTACTGTGTGAATCAACTGAAATTTTAAGTGCTTAAAATGTATTTTTATTGTTGTTTCTCTGTGGAAACTTGCATAAAACTGAAAATCCCTGAAAGTTTTTAAAAAAAAAACCTTAAAACATTATTTAAAATTAAATAGAAGATTTGGAAAACAGATTTTGTTTACATAAGAAATTAATAAAATTGTCTTTATAGATCAAAGGAAGTAACAGAAGACTATCTGGTGCTGAAATCCTGTTTACTTCTTAGTATTTGATACCTGAGATACCTTTTTGCATTAAAGGAGAGGAACACATATATAGACATAATAGGGAGGGCTGGTTATGTGAGTGGGAGATAATAAACACTTGTGTCTATGTACTGGATTCTGTACTGTGAGGATGGTGAGCCACTGGCACAGGTTTCCAAGAGAAGCTGTGGCTGCTCCATCCCTGGCAGTGTTCAAGGCCAGGTTGGATGGGGCTTGGAGCAACCTGCTCTAGTGGAGGGTGTCCCTGCCCATGGCAGGGGGTTGGAACTGGATGAGCTTCAGGGTCCCTTCTAATGCAAACTGTCTGTGATTCTGTGACTTGTATCGACCTATAGCAAATGTACCAAAACACCTCAAAGAGCATTAGTCTTGCTAAGATCCACTTGAGAGATTGTTGTAAACCCATGATGAGTTACACCAAGAATGAAATAACAAAATGTGTTGTGATTTAATCTATTTAAAGATGCTGATACTTTGATTAGCTGCAAGAATTTGTAAAGAAGTTGTCTGTGTCCTGCTAGCCCATTGCTGTATTGTTTCCGTGTTAAAACAGCACTGCATAGGGCTTCTTAAAAACAATTGTATGTCTTGTCCTCTTTGAAGGTTTTGCTTCTTGAGAAACTGTGGCTGTGTGTTCTCTGAACGTGCTCTCAAAGAAATTAAATCAGAAGTTTGTCATAAGGTGAGTTTTTCTTCAGCTTTAGTAATCAGTAGGGTCACATCTGACCTCCACAGATAAGATACACAGATACATACATATGAGTGTATGTGTATGTACATATATATACATATATATGTATGTACACAGTTGCATTCTCATCCACTATTGTAACGCTTGTTTTTTAATCTGAATTTTGTTGAGGGGTGGTTGTAACTTGATTATTCAGTGCAGGAATGAGATGGTTTGGCTCGTCTGATGATTTTATAAAAACTAAATGAATCCCACATGTTTTCTGGATTTCTTAAATAATCAGTATTTAGCACAGCCTCATGTTTGCATGTAAATGTTTTCACACATGTTGATTCTTCACAATATTCAGAAGGACACTTCTAGAAATAGTGTAGTGGATATACTATAACTTAGTTTGTCATCCTTTCATTACTGGATTTTGGTACACGGGGACAATGTTAACCACCCAGGAGAACATGGTTTAGTCCACATTTCCTTTGAGCAAAGTTGAAGAGTGATTTGGTAGATTTTTGGACATACACTGATGATGTTTCCTTTCTGCATTCGAAACCAAGAAGGGACCAGAACTCTTCTAAATAAGATAATAGGGAACTGGTTGCTGTGTGTTCTGGTAACTTAACTGTTTATATCTAAAGTGCTAATTAGCAGCTTTCCCCCAGCATGTTCTATGTTTATGCAGCAATGGGCATATATAGTAAATGAACTGGAACTAATGAAGAAAAAAAATAATAATTGTCTATTGGACATGTGCTAGAAATAGATTTTTTAAAATAGAATCCTCTTCTGATCCATGCTCTTTCAAAGCACAAAAAAAGTAAATGCAGAATGTTGGAATGTTGTAGATTGCCATACGCACATTTTTACTGGTCGTAACCCCTGTATTTTAAGAATTGCAGTATCATTTTTGAAATGAAAAGCAACCTGAGATCCATGTCGGCTACAGTATTACTCTTTTCTTGCCACCTTATGTCTGCCAGTGTGTGCTCAGATGCCCAGCCCTAGGCGCCCCTGCCACGTCTGTGGACATAGAGGCATTATGTGACTTCAGAGAGCAACAGGATGAGAGTAGTTAAAAAAGAATTTAACTACTGTATTTGCTTGTTTATGCTGTGTTTTCAGTTCTTTTCGGCTAGCAGAATATGTTTTCACTTCATCCCAGGGGATGAGGTTTATAGCATGGATATAAACTAGAGAAGTGTCAGTCTAAGAGCTGTGTGCCAGTTCTCCACTACAAGAAAGCTCTTTCAAAACAAGATATTCTTGTGTATTAATTTTGTCTGTGATTCTACAGAGCACTCCTGATAGTCTGCTAAATTGTAAACAGCAAGTTTCCCAAAGGACTCTGTCAAACAGATGCTGTAGTGATGCAATGAAAATACTCACCAGAGAATACAAATACCCAGCAGCCCAAACAACAGTTCTGCTCATATACCTTAAACTAGATCATCTGAACAAGATAATGAGCATATATTTACATGCTACAAGGTACATATCACAAAACGTTGTGATTTATGAAACTAGGTTGCTCTCATTGCAGGCTGTCTGGCTTCACTCATGGAAATGCTTACTACTTTGTGGGAAGCCCCACAGACCAGACAGTTTTCTCACTGCTCAGTTTTGTTCTCAGGATTTTTTTCTGTTGCAGCTCATACAAGAAATAGAGCAATCTGTTTGCCCGGTGATATGCAGGTCACAAAATAAGTGTTCAGGAAAAAGCTGAATTCATGTAAATATTTAGTCTTGCTCAAGGAAATGGAAAACACTGAGATGAAGAATTCAGCATTTCCGTAGTACTAGATTTGAAAGGCTTTATGGAGTCTAGGTACAGGGAGGATGAAGCAGTCTTTCTATTGGAGTTCTCTTTCAAAAAACCCACATTTTGCCTCCATAGAAACTTACAAAAGAGCTGACAATATTAAATACATGTATTTATCAGCTTTACTGGAATTGTTAAAAAGACTGTACTGTACTAGGGCATGGCACAAGAATGTGAGAGGAAACTGTCATGGGTGGAGGACTTTTAGTAAGGCAACTGTAATTGTGTGAGGCCTTTTTCTAAGTGACTTACCTCCCTTGGAAGTAAACTGTTCTTTCTCACTTTGCATCTTAAGTAGCAGTATACTGAAGGATCCAAGTTAAAAAAAATAATGTTAAAGTGAGAAACCCTAAGGCAAGCAAACAGTCAGACACTGTAGCAGTGTTGAGGGAGGCTTTGAAGGGTCTTGCCGAAATACTAAACTCCCTTGCCAAAGACTTTTTGAAACAGCAATGATAATGTTTTTATGGTGTTTTATGTTGGAGAGTGAGCTTGTTAGATGAAGTAAGTGCTTGGGACAAATTCTGAAGCTTCTAACTATTTAGACTGAAAAAGAGCTTTTTCTAAAACACAGCAACTTATGAGTAGAAAGAAAATATGAAATACCTGTTTACACAGAAGCGTAGTTTGTTCGAACCATGTTTTTGAGGTTTTGTACAGTAAGAAGAAAAAATGTTAACTCTCTGTACCAAGTCACAAGTTAAAATGTGCAGGACAGGGCTTCCAATCAGCAGCAAGGGAAACAGCTTTGATTCCAGATAAGAGTTTGGTGCTATATATTCTGCACAGAAGCCCTGAAGATCAGTATTTTCTGCTGCCTCATGCTTCCTATTCTTCAGGAAGAATTACATGCGACATGGCAATTGAAACTTGTACTCTTGAATAGGGCATTCTTACCTATTGTTAATTCTCCAACAGACTATTAAATGAAAAGAACAAGCAAGACTGTTTCTACTCGCTCTTTTTATGTTTGGTGGGATCTTGAAGGCTGTAAGATAGTGCTAATCTCTGTTGGTCCTTTGACTTTGGTGGGGCCCAAAGTGATTAAATGTTTTAGAATTTCTGTTCTAACTGGCTTCCTGATTCTTCCATGGGCAGTCTTTGGGGCCTGCTTTTTGGAAGTTGCTATTTGGCAAAGTTATGCTTGTAGAAATGATGCAGTGAAAAAAGTGCCTAGGAGTGTGTGGCATCTATTTAACCTCATGTTTTGGAGTTCAAAAAAGCCACTGTTGCCAATTGTTACTGTTGAGTCCCCTGTCTAAGAAGTTACAATTGCTGTAATAGTATGCTATAGGTAGTTTGGAGATGGGACAGTGGTTGTTGAATCTGCAGTGGAAGCCTTTTGGGGAGTCACTCTGGAAGTTAAGGAAAAGATTACATTTTAAAATATAATTCCTTACATCACTTGAAATTTATTTCAGAATTGTTTTCGGAGTCAACAGACTCTTAATAGACACTTGAAATAGTACCCTAACTATTAAAGTCTGCCATATAAAGCAATCACATGTTTAACTTAGATACAGAGCTACTGAACATGTGCTTTTTGAAACTGAAATTATGTATGCATCTTTCAGATAGAGAGTAAATGTGTGTGCAGTATGTTACAGAGCGCAGTGTTTCCTTGAGCAAAGTCACTTTGACACTGCTCTTAGATCAACAGTCACCAAAAGTTAGTAAACATTGGCTGCTGAGATCTAAAAGTTGGACGATTTACTCATAACACCTACAGAACTCTGTGAATGATTTTTATGTATGTTTAGGTGCTTTCAGCTTTTGACAGTTTTATTGCTTAATTTGTTTACCATTGTTAGAACTAAAAAATATCTCAAGACTATAATGTGGTCATAGTCACTCAGTTTAATGTGTAGAATACTGCTTCTTAATGATTGACAGTGGGGTGGTTCAATTATGGATTTCCTGGGGGTTTATAGGTGTAAAATTCTAAGATACAAAGTCCTTTAGGAAATGTGGATCGCACTCCAGTGTGGTTGGATTGATCTAGGCAAAGTCATACCTAAATTATATTTTAAGAGGGCTATTTGTTTAGATGTTTTTTCCCAGTTTGACTTACTCAGTTTCTGCAAAATAAGCCCATGTTATAGAGCACCTTGTTACTGACTTTATCCTTCTAATTCAGTTCAGAAGCGACACAAAACAATTGTTCTGTGTGATGATGATGAAAGGTAAAAGCTAGATACTGCATTTGCTGTGCTTCAGAAGACAACATGAGTGGATTAATGTTGGCAGTGCCCCTCTGTGGGTTGGGAGTGGTTTGGAGATTAATTATGAATATTGCTATGATTAATACATGCCAGAGACCCATTAGCTTCACTGATGGTTTTCACAGGGGCTCTCTGCAAACTCAGTGTGAGCATGCTGCCTGGCTCTTTTTTGCCTTTCTTTTTTATCCCTTGTATTTCCTGGCATACAGAAGGCACCTCCAGCAGTATTTAGCAACAGAGTAAGTCCTGAATTATACATGAAACTGAATACAGGCCTTTGGGTCGAGATTATAAGTTTTTGTAACTAGCTAGATTTATTTATTCTGGATAAATAGAAAGACCAGATGGGCTTTCTTTAGGTTAAAGTTCATTTGGAAGAAACTTATGTTTCTGGGAAATTTGTGTGGGAAAATGAGCAGTGCAGTTCCAGGAACCTGGGAGTAAGTTTGTAGTAAGAAACTTTCATGTTCTATTGCTGGGTTATTTGTTGATTTGTTTGATTTTTTTGGAAAAGTGCATAATCTGTGAGTCAGTCGTCTTGTAAAAATTTACTTACGTTTTGGATGCATGTTGAAGCTTACATCTAAATTGCTCCTAGACATGTATTAATAACTTGTATTTTCTAATCAAGTGAGCTTATAAGTAACAGGCTATATTTTATTAGGTGCCATCAGAGTTCAAGCAAAACAACCAGTAGTTTCTTTGGGTTTGCTGGAATGATACTTTCGTCTGCATTCTTGCCAAAATGCTTGTAAAGGGAGATGAACAGTTTGAAACGACGTGTTACAATTAAAATGCTTGTAAAGGGAGATGAACAGTTTGAAACGACGTGTTACAGTTCAGGTTTCTCCTAGCCTCTTTCTGTCACTATCTCCTAACTAAAGACCTTTGGAGACAGGGTGTAGAGAAGGTCTTATAAGACTTTTAATCCTGTGGAAGAGTTGTTAATATTGTAGAAAAGGCCACCACCTATATCCCGTTTCCTTATATTCCCCAATCTTTTTGGCTTGGTGTCCTTTATAGTCTTGAAGAGGCAGGAGCAGCTCTTGCCTGAAAAAGGGCTGATCCTTGTTCATTACTGTTCCCTGGTTATGCATGTGTTGTGTATTGAAAAGCACTTCCCTAGTATAGGCCAGCCACTGCTGCCTTTGGTCTGCAGAAGGTTTGGGAAATGAGATGCTTGTCCAGGCGTTATCTCCAGTTGTTGCAGACTTGCTGCAAGGTCAGGGAAGTTCGATTTCCCTCATGTACACTGGGGTTGAAAAATGGCTTTCACTCCATTTTCCTTTGTTCCCTGGCCTCAACTTTCCTATGTCTACTTGCCCTAAGCACCTGCAGAACTTCCAAAACAGGGACTTAAAGGATCACAGGATCTCTACTGCTGTTCCTGGCACAACCCCTCTTCTTTACATTAGGAGTAAAGCCTGACTAGGGCAGGAATGATGTTGCCATGCTACCCAATTAAATTAGAGATGCAGCTGGGCATGGAAAAAAAGGAAAGAGGGGAGAGAGAGACACACACAAACCAACAAAAAATCCTCAGTGAAATGGGCTGTGTCTGAAACCGGCGGTCACTTGCATATCTACAAGGTCTGAAATTTTAGTTATTTAGAATAATCTATTTCATCATGCATACAATAGACATGACTTTAATTTGTGCTTTTCTTTTATCTTTGTTCGGTCTTGCATCCATTTTACTGTTTTCATACCGGTTAGTCCTTTCTTTGCCAAGGAAACAAGGAACATGCATTTTTCCAGTTAAATGTGTCACTTAAAGGATTATGAATGTCCCCCTTGTCTTTAGTAAATTATAGATTCAGGCATGTAATTTTCTTTGAGCATTAACCCATTAATTGTGGCTGTTTATCTTACTGTAATAAGTAACTGTTTATTTCACTGGCAAGCTGGTAGTACAATATTGTACTTATGCTATAATGCACAGAGTGAAGTCTATGGCTAAGAATGTTAACATTTCTGTCAGTATTTTGAACGCTTGTTTAGATGTTAGTTAAGCTCAAACATTCAGCTTCATGTTGAAGTAGTTCTCTTCCTGAAAACGCCAGTGATCTTCGATGGGGACTTCCGCCTGGTGCAGTACTTTAAGCCTGTAGCGTCTCTCTAGGCAGTCCATAACAAGTGGGTATGTTGCAGGCTCAAATTTGTTGGCAAACAGATGAGGTGACTCTATAATCCACTGCAAATCCCCTAGTCCATAGACACAAATGTCTCTGATGTAATGACCTGCAAAGACAAATGGAAGTTATCTGAAAGCAGCAGAAAGTTGAACAGAATAATAGTATCACTCTGTAGTGTTACTAACAAAACTTACTTTTTTATTTCACATAGCATATCACTAAAATATATCTGTAGTATAATGCTAGATCTTAAACATAGAGGCAAGAGTTTGCTTCTGTATTTTACACAAATGGGTACGTTACTTCCAGCTCTGCTTAATACTGTGTTTCGTAGTTGGACATGCTGAAGTTCTGATCTACTTCTATTTGGACACCTGTTTAACCATGCAGTACTTTACTGTGCTGAGACAGTTAAACATTTTGTGGTTTTGCATGTGGTCAGCACTGTTTTTTATTATTGTTCAAATTGAAGAAGATTTAATCCAATGTTGATGAAAATGCCTGACAGGCATGCCTGTCAGGAAAAAACCCTATCCTTCACTGAAAACCGATCAGTCAAGTTAATGCATTGGTAATTGGAGGTTGAAAGAAAGTTGTCAGTATATGGATACTGTGACAGTCTTTACAAGAGTATATCAGAAGCTATTTAGATTGGATACACTGGAGCAAGGTGGCTTTCAGTTTTATTTGATACTTCCAAAATAACTTATATGTGACCAGTGAGGCACATTTAATACCCTGTTTAAAGCATAATGTGTAATTTGCCATGAATGCTGGTCAGTGAGTCAAATTTGAGTTCATTACTGAAATGCACATCACCTTTGCAGCCTTTGTGTATGGTTCCTTCTTGATCTTTCCATTTAATGGCTCGTATGTTTCCTTCCCAGTCTGCATGTGGTGTAGCCCCTGGAGCATCTTTAAAAACATAAAGTTCTGATAAGATTTCTTTCTACTTATTAGAGGGAAGATTCTCACTGCTGAAGACTTAATTGTAGTCATGTATTTATTTACAGATATTTGCATCATACAAACAGGCATCATTTTCAGTTTTATGAGTTTTAATTCCTTGAGAGCAAGAGCTTCCGTGTAACAAAACCCCCTCCTTTTTAATCAACGTTATTCTAGCTAATGGTCTGCACCTTAAGCAGTACTTTTCTAGAATCAAGCTTTGTTTCTTGGCTGTCAGATGTGCCTTTTTGAAAGGGCAGCATCAAGGCTGAAGAAATTACCATGTTTATGCAGTGTGACTCAGTTAAGCAGTGTTGTTAATCTCTGAATTGGAGCTCGCAAGCTCTCCATATCAGAGGCCTTACAGTGCTGTTGCTCCAGGGGTTATGCGTAGTAGAAATAACATACATCTTACCATTTAAACGATTCAGTGTGACCCAGTAGTGTTCATCCGGGCTGTACGTGTCTCTTGACCATTCAAGCAAATCTTTTGCACGTGCATCAGTCAGTGTAAACTCTACAAATTCTTTAGTGAGTATGTAGTAAGCACTACCAAAATATATAGTCAAATTATATGGAGGTTTAGCTTTTGTATTCTTTGTTGGATACACGTATGACATTCCAGAATGTACATACTCCTTGTAACTAACCTGTGTCCTATGTTTCATATGAAGTGGTTGGACTACCCCAGGAGTCATATTTTTACCATTCCATTTACTTTTAATGTATTGTATAATGTCTTTGTTTGTTTTAATGGGATAATCTTGCCCACATAGATTAATAACATAATTCCAGTGAATTTTGGAATGAACTAGATCTCTCATGCAGTTAATATCAGCTTGTAATCTTGAAAATCCTGCATAAACAACATTTTCTCTTTTTGAGGAAAGAAAAATATTTTCAAAACAATTGACGATGTTTTGTACAGCAGCTTTATAATCCTGTGGTGACTTCTCATCAACATGTATGCAGTAAATATTCTGAGGCATATAAATAGCTCTTAGCAGTTTTACAAACATTTCCAGCTCCTTGTGAATTGTAATAATGTATGCCAAGGAGAAATTCCCTTCTTCATCTGACAGTGGTCTTGTGATAAAATGCAGAGTCTTCAAAACCACGGAGCAGTTGCATGAAGTCTGAATGCAGCTGAGTGTTTTAGGTTGGTAGGTATTCTGACAAGAGTTTCCAATTTTAAAGGCAGCAGTTTTCCCTGCAAAAAGAGCTGAACAAAGCTCATCCGGGTAATACCCACACTCTGCTATATTTGCATTAAATTTTTGTTCATTTGGCCCTTCAGAAAGTGTATCCTTCAGGTAAATGAAAGTGTAGATGAACATGCAGACAGCAATGCAGAGTAAAAATCCTGATTTTGTTGCATCAAGTGGGTTCATCTTCTGTTTTCCAGATACTGTCTTCTCATTGTAGTTGAATTAAGTGTTCAGTTTATCTGAAAGGAAAAGTGAGATAGAAAGACAGAGAAAACCTTTTATAATTTACTAATAGATGACATGTTAATGATGTATCTAAATGTTGAGATTACTCTTTCCAGTTACTAGGAGGAACTCTCTGTGCCCATACTCATGCTGCAGTGTACTCAGCCCTTGGATATGGTACTTGCAGAGCCATGAAGCAATCCTTCTAGGACAAACAAAATTATCCAAAGAAGCTAAAATGGCTTTTTATGGTTCATTAGTTGATCAAGGAGGAGGGCTAATCCATTGGATACAGCCTTCTCCTCTGGCAGGTATGTCTCAGTGGGTGAGTCCAGTGCTGTGGGTTGGTCAAGGTCTAACTTTAGAACAGGGCAGATGTGTGAACACTGTGTGCTGCGGGACAGCTGCTGCTGAGATTTTCTGAAGGCCTAGGAAACCTTAAGTTCTCCCAGAGGACCAGAATTAAATAAATAAAATCAGCAGAAAATTTATTAAACAAGCGAAAGGAAAAGATTAAAATGTAATCCACAAAATACACTGGGTTTTATCTTTATGCACGCAGCAAATGAGAATATTTTTATGGGTTTTTTCCTCTGCCATCTTTGTATTACTGCTTTGGAAAACAGAACATGCAGGCAATCATTTCTTATTTTTAGCATGTGTGCATATCGAGAGTTAAGTGCATCACTGCCAGGGTTAGCATTGAGATAACTGTAGTTTACATCAGTATAGGCACAGGAGTTTTTTCCATTGTGATTTTTTTTTTTTCCTCATGTTTACCTGATTGATAGTCAGAAGAATGAGTGCAGCGGTACTAAATCCCACAGCAGTTACATGGAGGCTTTATCCTTGAAGCATTTGGTATAGAACTTCCTAGAGAAAATACCGGGGTGGAGGAAGGGTTCATCAACTGCCATTATCGTAAGAGTTAAATTAAGACATTATTTTTCTTTGTTCAGTGAATTTATTTAATAAAATTTGTATTACACCTGTAAATGTTTCATGCTTTGCAGCTGTCAACATCACAACATACTTGGTTTTACACAGGGAGAGAGAAAAATCTGTGTTTATAAAGAATGCTGTTGTGGTTAGAAGGCTCTGGGGTTTTCATTAGAAAGAAGAAGATGATAATTCTTTTAATGAAAACTCACTATACACTGGTATTAGAAGCTTGAAAATAAAGAGGGAATTTTAGTTTAAGTAGTAGAAATGAGACATAGAGTTCAAAAAGCGTTAAGAATACAGAGTTTGAACCAAGAGAATGGATACTCTGTATTACCACAATTTTAAAATCTTACTAGGCTGTTGGGAAAGAATGTATTTATTTAATTGTCCTTACTGGTATGCACTGGATTTCATGCTGGAAGGATGCCTCTTTTCCACTTAGCATTCCAGAAAGTGGAGTTGAATGTTAGGTGGAGGGTTCATCCATTTTGCCTGTATGTTCTGTCAGTACTGCTCATCAGTCTGTGTTGGATGAATAGGCCAAAGAAAAACATTAGGAAATCAGGTCCCAGGAGAATGTGTTTTTCTTCATGGCTCCCAAGGGATGCATTTACTGGGTAAACAAGCTTGATGTGAGTCTTTGATCCCTTTGAAGAAAAGCTTCAGCAAATGAAATTCATGTCAACCTTTTGGTATTGTGCGGAAAGGAGGAGGAAAAGGAATGCCACCAAAAGGTGAAAGCCAGGGGTTTGCAGTAAAAACTGCATAGGCCAGTGCTGTAGCCTGCTACCAGCTGACTGCCAGAGCCAAGAATAGATTTGCATATGGCTGTGACGTGCCCAGTGGCAGAAGTTGGGAAGAGGGAGTGTCTGTTAGGGAAGCACAGATTTTCATGGAGTCAGAAAAACTAATTACAGGAGGAGCATTAAGGTTGCTCTGAGTTAATGAATGTGACGAGATCCCTATGGTATGTCACAGGGAATGTTCATTCTGGACATAAAAATTACACTGAAGGCACTGGGCAGCTGTAGAAATAACTGGGACTTTATACCTGCTTAGAATATAGAACATCTGTACGTGATGATGTACATGAGCATGCTCATCAGGTTTTTTCCTTAAATACATCTTTGTGGACAGGTTGCAGAGGATAGCTCCCTGGGGAATCAAGCTGTTTGTATCATATGCTTAGATTTTTTTATTACCCTTCAGGTAATAGCTTCCAGGGATGTTTCGGGTTGTTAAGTCTTTACTATGGATTTTTCCTGTTGAACCATGAGGTGTTGAGAAGCTGTATTTTACATGGCAGCATGAAAGTACTCAAACACCCTGTTATCAGGTAGGAAGAAGTAATTCCTTCTCCAGTGTTAATATGTTTCTGGGGAACAACTAAATGATGAAGCCTTGCCTACGAGAGCAGAACTTGACATCTTTTAGCCTCAAGATATATTATAGAATGAAAGCATTGATTTTTCTGTTAAGATTTTACCAGATCTAGAGCTAGAATTGGTGCTGTTAGTCCAATTGCGTTTGAAATTCGCCACTTAGAAGAATCCTTTAGCCCGTATGCTATTGTCTCCTGTCAAGGACTACACTACTGTATTTCTTCCTGCCCTTGAAGAGGCAAGATGTCATACTGTTGAGAAGATCCACTGTCCAGACATAACCCAGTCTGTGATATCTTGCCTTTTAAATTTTATTATACAAGACTGCCATTATAGGTATTTGTTGTTATCAGAATGTCTTTGAAACTCAACCTTTTCTATGTTACAGACATTTTCTAAATCTGGAGGGTAAAGTTGTCTTAATTTTTAGAAGTACTGAGAGTAGTGGTTGACACTGTAGGGGTTTTCAAGCAACTTTGTGATTGCTGTTATGGATATTACTTAATAGAAAATTGTTGTAAGGCTAAGCTCTTCCATCTCAATTAAATAGGTAAACTGGAGGGAAGTAGAATTACGTTTATGCCTGAAAAAGCCTGTGAAATATCATCTCAGTTAATCCAGACCCCATTAGCTATGTACTTTGCTCCGCAGTTCACAGTAGCAAATCATTTTACATTTTGCAGTTCCTTCCTGCCATGGTGTTTTGGACTGCATCGTTTCACCTCTGAATACTCTATTTTGCCTGTACTCTTTGTATTTGCTTAATATTAAAGCTTAGATTAAAATGTAAGCTTTATGTTTGCTTAATATTAAAGCTTAATTTAAATTGTAGTTCATATAACTTCATAATTCAATGAACCAAACAATTTAGGAATACATAATCTTAAAAAAAATGGTTAAAAGGTATTAACTCCTCCTTCCCAAATATTTTATGTCTGGTTTTTGTCTGAAAGGGATTTATGCAGGCATTATTATAAACATTTTATGAAGAGGTGAATACTAATTCAGTCCTTTAAAATCTAAATATTAAAAATCAGCGCTTTTAACTGCTTTTTACTTTGCATTTTTGCTTCAGCCTGGGGAAGTGTGCTGAGCCTGCTTCTGTGTTGTGATATATCAAGTAAAACAAAATTTCTTCCTATCATTAGGGTTTTTTTCCTTGTGTATTTTCCTTGTGTATGTAACAGTTCCAAACAAATACTATGAAAGCTATTTAAACCCTTGAGTTAGAGGTTATAAAAATGAAGTGGAACAGAGCGTAAGAAGTATTCCTAAGTATTGTGATTTTTATAATGCAGACGACAGCAGTAGTAATGACCTCCATCATACACTACCTCTATGACAAAGTAAAAAAGAAGTGAAGTATTAACCTTATGGCAGAGTTTTTAAGTTAAATAATTAAATGTTTCTATAAATATAATGATTAAATATTTCTGAAGTGAAAATATTTGCTGCTTTACAAAAATAAAAATGTGTTTTAATAGAGGAATAGTAGAAATCTGAAGCCCTACAATCTAATTTATCCAGTCTTACCTTGTATGAAATTAGCCAGGAGACGGCAGCATCATAAAAATAAATGGAGAGTCCCATTGCCCTTCAGTAGAATCCAGACGGTGTTCTTCATTCTGTTGCTTGTGTGGAGATCTGGTGTAAGTGAAAGGGGTTAAACATTAACGGGAATGTTTTCATTTAGGGCTTCATCTGGCTTCCCGCAATGCTTAGCATATTTATTCTGCAGTAACGCTGTTTGGCTTCAGAAATGTCCTCTGCTTCACAGTAATGAGTGAAAACTTTAGCTTCTCTGAATTTGGTTGCCACTCTTTCTCAGACAGCCTTTAAAGGACCAAAATCAGACTTTCAAATATGTAGAGTACATTGCTGATGATTATAAATAGTATTGCCTTACCTCAGAGGCTTTAACCTCTGCACTGCTAACCGAGCATGCTGGCTGATGAGAACTGGGAAGGAAACAGTGCTCTCCTCCTCCTCCTCCTCCCCCAAGTTCTTAACTGTTTGTCTGCTGAAACTTTCCAATTTGCAGCAAATAAATATAGCAAAGAAATGCCTCTGGTCATTTTTAGTGTTTGGAAGCTTAAAAGATAAATGAAATGCCTCATTCTGAAACAGAGTAATACTACTTTTATAAAGATTTTTAGTAAGTGAAAGGCTTTTAATAAGTGAAAAGTTAACATTGAAATTTGCTGGAATTGGGAAGGTTTGGGGTTCTGGAAGCAAGTAAGAAGGCTGGTGTATTTTGGACGTGTTTCGATAAAAATAGCATGCTGGTCAGAAATAGAGAGAAAACCTAGGAGTAAATTAAGGCACAGCTGCAGGTGTGGCAGTTACAACATTATCATTGACTCTCAGGGAAGGTCTGTGAATAGAGGCTTCTGCTTGGACAGTGTTTTTGTAGGAGGTGCTACAACTGCTGCATGAAAGTTTGTGTTCTGTGAATTAGTATGTAGGAGACTTTTGACTTCTCCCAAGTTATCATTTAGTCTTTGACCTGTTGTATGTCTGAGTAGGGTGGCAATGTCAAAAATTGTGTTTGTCAAATATTGTACTACTGTAAACATCTCGATATACAAACATACTTGCCTGCTTATTTGTAAGTCAATTTGTAATGACTGGAGTAGTCATGTATGGAACTACATCTTAGATGCTGTACCAAAAAAACTCCTAAATTCACTGTCAAAAGTAGTTGACCTCAAAAAATAAAGTACAGTTATTGTCTTATGTAGCTGAAACTTAAGAGACAAATACAAACTTCATAATTCAGGAAATCATTTTAAACTAAGATTTCATTATTACTAACAAAAGTCATGTGTTTTATTCTCTGAGAAAGGTAAGAAACTGTCCTACCAGATTAAAATGACTTGAAATTTAGGTCTTCATTATTTGAAAAAGTAATTTAGCTATCTCTTTTACTAGTTCAAGTTTAAAAGATTATATTTATGTCAAAGCTAATATCTCCTTTACAGCTCATAATACCTTGAATCTTACAAGTTTACACCTTTGTGTTGTTTTATGGTTTTTGGGTTTGTTTCTTTTTAAAGGTGATTCTGTGTGTGTGTGTGTGTGTGTGTGTGTATGTGTATACACATGAGATATGTAGGGTATGTAAATTTATGACTATCAGACTTTGGAGACTTCTTGATCATATTTGAACAGCCTTTAATTCCATGATGCAATCATGTTAAGCCATTTAGATATAAATGATGTTGAATGCACTTTTATAATTGGACTCTGGAAGGCCTTTTAGAGAAAATCCTTGCTGCTTGTTCAGCATCTCCTTCAGATAACATCCCACTCTTCTTCAGTTACAGATCGAATCTTGCATTCAGATCTGCAAGCTGATGGTCTAATGCTTTTGTCCATTCCTGAGCAGTTTCCAAGTTCAGTGTCATTTAGAAACATCTTCTATTAAGGTGCTACAAAAATATTAAGGAACTACAGCAAGTACCTTCCTATGTAGTTAATGTCCTGATATAAACAAGGTACAGCAAGTGAGACCCTGTGGTATCAAACATATGCCCCAGAAGACTTTAACCTGAAGGAGCAATCTTTCTAAATTTGCAAAACTGACCACTTGTGTTCAGATTCATTTTGAAATGAATTTAAATACATTTTAAAATACATATTTAAATTTAAATACTTATTTAAATAAGTTTAAATAAATGTATTCTTCACTGCAGGCTGCAGTCAAAGCACTGTCCCTATGTCCTTTCATTTGTTTAATTCCTACTGCAAACCTTTGTTTAGAAAACAAGAGTAGTGACAGAGGCAGGGTTATTAACTGATCTTCCAGATTAACAGAAAGCTTCTGGATTTAACAAAATAAAAAAAAAAAAAAAAGGAAAAGAAATTGAGATCTTAGAAAATGTTATAGTCAATGTACTGGCTTCACCAACTGATCAAAAATGTGCACAGTGAAACATTTGTGTCTTCAATCAGAAAGCAAATGGGGAATTACATGAACCACATTACATGCATTATCCAGATTAATTACAAATATACTTTGAAACTTGGCAGAGTTTAATAGATCAGATGACTGACAGTGAGGTGGCAAGGCTGGGTTAATAAATAATGCTGCTTTTATGACCCCTTTTCACCTCCAGAGTAATTTAAAAAATAATTTTTAAAATAGGAAAAAACTCCAAACCAGGTTTTGCTGTCTAGTGTCGGGGAGAAAAATTCCCTCGTGCTGTCTGCTCGACCTGTAGAGGAATAACATCTTTGTCATTGTTCCTAGTCATTATAAAGAAACTGCTCCTGGCAGTTGTTACTCCTTGTGTTGAAAGACAAATTCATGGCATAACACTTAGGTCTTTGTGAAATGCATTCACAACTAAAACAATATTTCAAAGTAATTTAGTGTTTTGGTTTTACCTATGGGGTTCAGAAAATTGAGTAGATTGTATATAAGAGTACATTGTTTAATCTAGTCACTGTACATTTCGTGCTAGTAAGACAAGGAATCCACGGATGGAAAATACACAATGGGACCTTTTCTTTAAAGAAAAAGAATAATAATTAAAAGTGTTGATACTGATAATGAAATAATTTGCCATTTTTATTACTAATGGAACAGGCTTTGGGCAAGAACAAAGTATTTTCCTATATATTTTTCTTTTAGAGTTTGCTGTGTAGATTGATATGTGAGCTGCTTTTAAATTGGTTATCAAAAGTTCATGATTCACTAGCAAGATGAGTATTTATTCTACTTTTCAGGAAGGGGAATGCTGCCAATTGGTATGATTTTGCTCTGTGGTAAAATCAACTGGAATTTTCCCTTTGATGTTTTAAGTGAGAAGATGTGTTAGACTGTATTAAAACAGAAAGAACTATTAGAAAAGACACAGCAGCAAGTGGAAGGGCTGGAGATCTCCTTGGAGAGCTTAAGCACAGTATTAATTCTAGCAAAGGTCAGCCAGCATACAGACCTTAAAAGTAATACTGGGTTTGTCCCTATTTTTTTTTCCTTTAAGTGTGGTGTTCCCTTTCAAGAGGAAGATGTGATTATCCTTAATGGCAATAAAGAAGATGTGGAAGTATTGAAGAAAAGAATGGAGGATAGAAGACTTAAAAGTAAATTAGAAAAGGTAATATTTCTATATGTTGTTTAAAACAAAATTGAAACAATTCTTGCTGGTGATGTAGTCTGCTCTTGGATTGCATAGTTTTGCTAACCTTTGTGCAGATGGAAGGATTTACTCAGTGAGCTGTGTTGTACTTCAGTGCTACTTTTTAAAGTAATGGGATTGTGAGCATATTTTGCTAATAGCTCATTGAAGTTGTATGTACCGAAACTGTCTTGAATAGCAAGCAGTGTGTAGTGCTCTGAAGATCACAGAATTCAATGCCAGCTATGCTTCAGGTCTTTCTTGAAACCAATAGAGGTTGTATTAGTTAATTCTAGTAATGAGCAAAATCTTAACCTGATGGCAGGTTATTAGTTGTTTAATCTCAAAGTATCCCCTGAGGCCAATGTCAGAAACAATACTGGGGTATGTAGGTTCCTGGTCTGATTCTGTAAGACCACTGCTGGGAAACTTTTACATGCTTTGTGGTTCTCTACAGTCCTGAGTGATTACTGGTGATGCTACTTCCTGCCATAATGTCAAGGTCTTTGCATTTATTTTTGGTTTCAATCTGATGAGGCAAAATGCCATGTAAATAAATTCGTTGATCTACTCAATGCTCTACCGTGTACTACTCTGTGAAGTAGTAGTTGTTCTGTGGTACTGTACTGTCAAATGAAAGTTCTGCATAAGGGGCTTCTTTCAACATTTTTGTGGTGTTCTGAACTGGCATTGCTGCTCTGGAGGATGACAGAGCAAGCAAAAACTCAAGTGTTGACTCAGTCCAGAGTGCAGACAGATTTGGTTGACTCTCAAGAGCATGAATCTGACACTTTCAGCCACAGAGACTTTAGATGGAGGTCAATCATCTCATCCCCATTACTGCACTTGATTTTGCCTGCCTGTAGGATTAAATGACATACAGATGTTTTCCTGGATTGTTTTGAGACAAATACTTGTTTAATCTCCTGTGAGCACATAATTCCTTCTCGTCATAGGGTCTTTATACATCAATACACCATCACTGGGCCTGGGCAATACAACAAAAGAATGGTTAGCCATACAAGTTATGCTATTATTTTTCCTCTGTGTTTATAGCCTCTGCATTTAGTATCCTATAGTTTTTTGCATAAAAGCAGTACTGTAAATTTCATGCTGTCTCTTCAGCTGTTTGTAGATTTTTTTATTCCCAGTACTTTATAATTAAATGTTTTAAAGAATTTTACAGATAATTTGATGATAGAATATTGGAGATCTGAGTAGATGAGTAACCAGCTCCAAAAGCAGTGGTTGGTTGTACTCAGTTTTCATTAGGAAGGTAGCCCTGACAAAGCAATGATAGCTTTGGTTCAAGTAAATTGGAATGGTCTAAAAGCTGGAACAAAGCTTACATGCAATAAAGAAGTACCACCTAAGTGTGGTGTCCAGCTGTCTTTTACAGTGTTGGCATGGTCGCTTATGGTGGCAGACAAAAGGAAATCATGCTTTGGGCTGTATATGCCTTGGGTGAATATGCAAATATTTTGTGTTTGTTTAGTGGAGGCTTACAGTACAGGCAGGTACAGTATTTGCAAATCTTTCAGCAGGTGTCTTGCATTTAATCCTCAAGTTTTCAAGGTTTTTTTGCAATTCTGCCTTCCTTGCTGCACAAGCTGATGGTTTTGCAGCTAGAAACAGTCTTCTCTGCTGTCACTGGCACTGTTCACTTTAATCCAAGATCTGTGAGCTGCAGTCCTGATATTGGAAGGCTGTTTCTAGTTTTGGGTCTGTTGGCAGTACTGCTCAGGTATCTTCCGCCTTCCTTTTGGCAAGGAGAGAAAGGGGACCAACTGTATTTGGAGCATGAAGTACAAACTCCTTTCATTCATACTCGTGACACAAATTATAAGGAAGACACAGCGTGCACTAATGTAAAAATTTATTCAAGCTCAACTATGTCATATTATAATGAAATACATATAATGTATATATACTTCTATATAATATATATGCATACATATATTTAATATCTCATAATTCAGGTTCCAGCTACTGGAGGTAACTTTTCTTTGTAAAGCACTCTGAAAGGAGGTTTCTCATGTGCACGGGAGGACCAGGAGATCAAAGTTTGCTTTTTAGACTAGCAACCCTCTGCCACCACCTTCTGGCTAAGCTTTGCAGCAACGTGTGGTACAGCATTTTTTTTCCCTCAATTGTTAACCATGTTCTTGGCAGCATGGGTTTTGCTAATTTTTATAACACAATTCAATTTATTTATTCTCTTTGAGTTTGTGCAGCTTTCTTGACATATGTACACCATTCCAAATGTATACAGTCATCTTTTGTAATAACAGTGCCAATGACTGCTTTAACATATCTTTCTTTTTCAGCTTGGCATTTATGTCATCAAAGCCATTAATGGGATTCTTGTTGCTGTTGTTTGGGGTTTTGTGTGCTTTAATCTAGACAAATATAAATTAACTCCGAAAATCTGGTTCACAGATGCTTTTAAAAATTTTAGATTAACTATTTGCATCCTCCCAAGCAGTCCTGCAACAAAGGCCTCAGTTACTGAAAGTTACCAGGAGGAATTTTTGTGTTAACTAAATGAAATTAAGTGGATATGAGATGCAGGATTGTTCTGGTTTTGTGTTTTGTTTTTATTTTTAATTGAAAAGTCATAGAATCACAGAATGGTTTGGGTTGAAAAAGACCTTAAGATCATGTAGTTCCAACCCCCCTGCCATGACCAGGGATGCCTCACACTAGACCATGTCACCCAACCTGGTCTTGGACACTGCAAGGGATGGAGCATTTACCACTTCCTTGGGCAACCTGTTCCTGTGCCTCATCACCCTTGCAGTAGAGAACTTTTTTCTTATATCTGATCTGAACTTCCCCTGTTTCAGTTTGAACCCATCACCCTTGTCCTATTGCTACAGTTCCTGATGAAGAGTCTCTCCCCAGCATCCATGTAGGCCCCCTTCAGATACTGGAAGGCTGATCTGAGGCCTCCTTGCAGCTTCTCCAGGCTCAACAGCCCCAACTTTCCCAGCTTTTCTTCATATTGGATGTGCTTCAGCTCCTGATCATTCTCATGGCCTCCTCTGGACTTGTTCCAGCAGCTCCATGTCCTTATGTTGTTGTTTCCAGTTAACTGTTCTGTTTAATGTCATTCAATTTACTGTCCTGCCATGTGGGTTCAGAGTATCAGATTACCTTAATGACAAAACTTACCCTCCCCTGCAAAGCATACAAACCAAAATACTGTATCCAGACAGTTTAGGCTTGGCCTGCAGAATGTTCTTTAAGGTAACTTCAAGGTTCCCAAGGTTATTATTTTTTTCATATAAAAATAATGCAAAAGTGTGGATCAGTATGGTGGAAGGAAAATTTCCAATGTGTAACACATAAAAATGTAACATCTGAAGTTGTGTGTTTATCAAATACAAGTTTGGAATTGTGTATCCTTTTGGTACATTACCAGATTTCTGTTTGTGTTGTTTCAGAAATCAAAGAAATCCAAGTCAGCAGAGTCGGCTTCTCAGCAAGGTACCGCTGAAGGTAAAGTCACAGCTCCAAATTCTGTGTAGCCTTCTGAGTTGTGAAGCTCATTCATGATCTGTTTTGTTTTTTTTCTTTCATAGATTCTCCAGGTCCGTCAAAGGTTAAGGATGGAAAGGACTGTATCAGTTCCAGTTCTGGGGAAAAGAGGCAGGTTACCCCCACCAAAAGCTCAGGTTGGTGTTTCTTCTTCAATCTAAATTTGAAAAACCTGGGAAAACAAATAGTTCTGCTTTGAAAAAAAACAACATTGCAGGAGAGATCCTTCTCTGGCTATTTTGTCCTATAGTTTTGAGAAGCTACCCGCTCACTTATTTTTTTTATCTTCCTCAGTAATAAAAGGTCAACTCTTGTCTTCAAGGGAGCCATGATGTCATGGCTCAGTTTTTCAAAGAACCCTCTCTTTCAAAAGTCTGTTCTGAAAGTGTGCCTTTCCAAGTTGAAGTAGGAAGTTGCATCATGAACATGCACAAATCTCCTTGTTCAATAGAAACTGTACTCAATTTAAGTCTTTGTTAGAGCTTTGCTTTAAAATCTGTGAAATCTACAGCACTGACTCTGCAGAAAGTGTATAATTGCTGCTGTTTGTCTGGTTTTCCATATTGAACACAGTTTGCCTTTGTCCCAGCTGCTGTCTGTCATCCATCCTATACTCTGAGTAAATAAATCACACAGTAGGACTGGCTTCTTCTTATAGTCCTAAAACAACAGGTTCTCTGCTCATGCTTGTGGCTGGCAAGTGCTGTAGTGATACAGATAACTGATAAAAATAATAAATACTTTTCACCACAGTGTATCTTTTTTTTTTTTCACTATGAAACCAGCAAGATCTTCTTGTTTATATCATTCCAATATTGTTTTAAATTGGTGGGAACCAACTTGAATAAATGAGGTTAGAGAGTCTTACACAGTATATAGTTGAGGGTTTGGTATATCTGTTTTATTAGCTAGGAGGTAGTGTGGGGAGAATTGGTAGTTTTCCTGAAGTACAAGTGATCAAGAAGTCTGTTACGGTAGTTTATTTCAGTGAAGTGTATTAAAATGTCCCAAGCTAACAGCTTCACCTTTAGTCTTCCATTTTAGCAGTGGAATGTAACTTTGGGATGTACTGATGCACCTGTGCACCTCATGCAGCTATGAGTAAATTCTGCAGTCCTGTAGCCCAGAGAATGGTGCCCTCTCTCTATGATATTACAGAAATTATGTCATTTAATGTCTCCAATGTTTTCATTCAGAATTATAGGAATGGGTACATTTTTAAAGTCAGTATGAGCTTTCCGTGTGGAGTATTCAGTTATGTACATAACAGCCACCAAAAAATTCAGTTTGAAGAAACTAAGAATATTTAAACAATGAACTGTAGATAAACTATGTGAGCAGCTGGGGGAATTTCCATCAGAAATGCCTTACCTGCCCCCTTCTGTCGGTTCTTATAAAGGATAGACTTCTAAGAATATTCCATTCCAGATTGTCATAATTGCTCTTGGATATTTAGAAACCTAGTAATTCTAATAATAGTTCATGTATCTTTGTCTTCCACAAGTGTAAAAGAAAACGTATGCCTTTTGAAATGTCAGGTAATTAGTTCATGTTTCTGGCAGCAGTTATATTGGCCAGCAAGAGGTTAAGAGGAGGGAAGGGAAAATAAAGGAAGATCTGTGAATTGAGGAATGCCAGTAGCATAGGAATTAATTTGTGAACATGGCACCCTAAGGTTTCTGGACTTGCAGCATGCATATTCATTCTTTCAAATCCAGTATTTGGTAATTCTTTCCAGACAACTGTTGGTGGCATTAAAAGCAGCATTCTCCAAAAATAAAAAGGGTCTGATCTATGATGATTCAGGATTGCACATACAATCCCTCTGACTCCATGCAGAAATCAGAGATAAATGTGTTTTCAGACTCGCTCTTTACATGCTGTTGTGCCAGAGTTGAAGTAAATATGTTGAGTTTCTGCAGACTTTTATGTATTTGTTTCTTTGGGCAAGAGATGGCATGTTCTTTTTAAAATAGTCCTTCAACTTTGGAAAAGATTAAACAGTTGTTAAGAAAGAGGTTGGGGGAGTCGGAGTGTAGCAATAGATATAATACACTGAGAGAGATTGTATCAGAAGCAGAGGATGGGCATTTTCCTATCCCAGATACGAAATTATGCAGGCCATTGTTATTGGTCATAAATGACTCTGCAAAGAATAAAGGGAGGAGATAGATTCCCTGGGGACAGTATGTCACAAGTTTAGCTTTTGTCATTTGATAGCTAATTTCTAAATAATACTTCAGGGTGGTGGAATACTTTCATGTTTCTTAACAGTTCAGAGCCATTTTTCATGTAGAGGGATAAATGTCAATACTGAATTACAGTACGAGGGATTTACACAAGTAGGAAAGAATTCCTCCCTCTCCAAGATTTCTAAATGCATTTTGAGCATAAATTCTAAAAGCTATGAACATACTTGGTGTTGAGTACAGTTATGGGATATGTTTGCAGTCGCCCTGAAAAATGTATATACTTAATCTTTGCACGCATTATTTTTTAATACTTTTTGTCATTATTATTTAAATACTTTATCGATTGTAAGCTTTTAAGCCTGCCTTATTTTACTCCTTTTTCTCTATCAGGTAATGGAAATTCATCTGTCCCAGGAAAAGTCAATAAGGCTTCTGCTACTACTATGAAGAGATCCATTGCAGACAGTGAGAAGTCTGAGGCATACAAATCTATTTTTACGTCGCACAGCTCAGCGAAACGTTCAAAGGAAGAGTGTTCCAATTGGGTTACTCACACAGCATACTGCTTCTGAAATAATGATGAGCCTGAATGTAACATTCATTACTGCTTTTCTTCCCTAAGGCTTTTTCTATAACTGATACAGAACTTTTGTTGTAATCTGATGCTATCTGGGATTATGCAGTTTGTAAACTGTTTATAAATTTATGGATAACTAACAAACTTGCATTAGTTGCAGCTTCTATTAAATAAGAAATAGATCATCAGAACGCATGCTGTATCAGCAGACCTGATTTTAAGGTGGATTATCTGCACATAAATTTTTCTTCTCCCAGTTCAACACTGTCATTCTTACTCACAGTAGCTAGTGTCCTCAGTAACAGTGAGGGGACGAGGATCTGCCTACTGTACTCTTCTGTTATCATAGAATCAAGAAATGATTGGGGTTGGAAGGGACCTTAAAGATCATCCTGTGCCAACTGCCTGCCATGGGCAGCAACATCTTTGTCTGCAGATCAGGTTGCTCAAAGCCCCATCCAGCTAGGCCTTTAATAGCTTCTTCGGGCAACCTGTTCCTTGCCACCCTCACAGGAAACAATTCCTGCCTCATATTTGACATTTGCTGCAACTATAATTATAGTTTTCAATGTATTAGTACAGAAATCCACATTTTTTTGAATTTTCTGACAGCTAACTAGGTAGAGCTAGTATGTTTCTTAAAGGTTCTGTAAGTATTTTCAAGTAATTTGCCTTTTGATGGAGCACATGAATGGATAATAATGAAACTGTTTGTACAGCATTCTTCTTGTACATGTTGTTGTAGGCTGTTTTTAATAACCAAGTATTCCCTTGTAAATCGTTATCTATAAAGATGAGCCTGCGATAGCTTTCTGGGGTTTCCCCAGAAAGGTTTTGAGGGTTTTCTTTTTGGGTGTATGTTTTAAAGTTAGAATTACCAGGTGTGAGCTTTCTTTTTTCAGAGGATCAGAATACAATGGAACAAACTTACGAGTTTCCTTATTTTTCTGCTGAAACAGTAAGGTTCTGTGTAACTCTGAGGAGCAATTTGCCATTTTGAATTTGGCAGCTTACATGAAAATACAAGCATTTGCACAGGGTGAGAGAGAAATGAGTGGTGACAGAACAGGAACAGGCAGATCTTAACTGGCTTTTTAGGGAGGAACAAGTGGGCACCAGTGTCAGGGGAATCAAATCCACTGGTGACTGATGGAGGGAACTGTGCCAGGCTGGATTAGCTTTTGCAAACGTTTCTCTTGCACTTTGCGGGCAACTGAAATGTGCTGCTTTCACATCTGCAGCATACGTTTCTTAACATAAAACTCTTACCAGGAAGCAACGACTGCTTGTTACAGGAAGATGCTAGGTGTAGTACTCACTCAGTTTTGCTTTTATATTTATACTTTTGTTCCCTGTGATGTTGATTTAAATGAAACTTGCTCTTGTTGTGTGATCTTAATGCTTCATGTTCAGTTGAACTGATAGACAAGCGCTTATTTGGTCAGTGCTACAACACTTCCTTTGCCCCTTGTATTCTTAGCTATTTTCCAAAGGCAGGAATTCTTTTAAAATGTTAATGTTCCATAGCAGTTCCATAGCAGCTGAATATTTGAATCCAATAATAACGACGTGAAATGACCAGAGGGAAGGATGGAACCCTTTCAACTTCTCTTCCTCTGTTAAAATACGCTTTTATAATCTTGGCACAAACTAACCAGAATAGAAATGCAGAAAGTAGGAGGCTTGTAAAACCACTGCATGATGTTACATTGTTACCTTGTGTGTAAAAATGATTCATTATCCTCATAATTTATATTTAAAACTGTCCCCATTTCTCATTGGCAACAGTGAATTCCAGGTTCAAATGCTGTGTTTACAGTTGTGTAGGTGGTCTCCAGGATTCAGGTGTGTTGAATGAAGCTGCTAGGATTTTATTATTATTTTGATAAGTATAATTAAAAATTGGCTTGTTGCAGAATTTGTATGGTGGTAAGCAGTTTTGGTTTCCAACGATGGGAATGCCTATATACATCACATCAAACAGTTTGAGGTTTATTTGAGCTTCCAGGAAGAACTCGGCCATGGTTTGTATGCATGTCTAAGAATCAGCTTTGTTCTCCTTGTTCTGTATTCTTTTCCACTTCATTATTAACCTTTATTAGTTGTTAGTTACAGATAATGAAATTACTACACTAAAAGATATACTATAGTAAGGCCTTCATTTGCAGTCTGTTTTGACAATACACGTTAAAGTCCTATTAGTGCTTTAAAGGAATGCATTATTCTTCTATTTAAATCAGTGGTAAATCCTAAGAGGAATTAACTTAATTCTTGTGATCAAGCTATTACTTTGCTAAAGAATACAACACAACATAATACATAGTTTTGTTTCCCTTTTCTTGATAACTTGTTAGGCAAAGTCCAGCCTGACGGCTTCGGAACAGGCTTTCCTGCTTGTTGGGGCAGGAAATAGTAGTGACTTCTTTCTTTCAGTCTGACTGGCTCATCTATTAAGTTCGTGACTACCATAATTTGGTTAATGTATGGATTGCTCATACACACTTGAGTTTATTATCTGGAATTGGTAGTTTGTGTTCTGCCACTTGGATAGGATTTTGTTTGGGAGTTTGCCATCCTGAATTTGCAGATGGAGTTCTTAAAGTGTTTATGGTTTATGAAAGTGTTGTCAGTGACTACTGAGGTCTTTTCCTTCCCTTTACAAAAACCAGCTGTGAAGGAATGTGATATATTGTTGGCATGTAATGCAGTTCATCGCCACAATTGACTTTTGTTAATGTAAAATAGAGGAGCAAAAAACTGACACTTCTGTTGCTGGCAGGCTCAGCTAGGCAGTTGAGACTGGAACGTTGACTTGGCAAGTTTTAATAGATGCAAGCAAATAGTTTGCTGGAGGATGTTTGCTTTGTTGTGGTTTGCTTTTTGTGGGGGAGGGCAATTTAATTTTCTTTTAATATAGGTGAATTTGAATGTTGGTGAAAGTTGAAGACTGCAGAAGTCTTAGAATCTAAAACCTATATTTTCTGAGATGCCCCATTAGTCTCCCACAGCATTACATCCATGTGTCTCTGTTCTAGGAGTTCGCAGAACAGTTAATTCTGTTTCCGTGATGTTCAAGCCTTGGCCTCCCTTCTGAAGAGCTTAAAAAGGATCTAATTAGTGTCAGTTGTATAATAGGGGGAGAGTGTGTGTGTGTGTGTGTGTGTGTGTGTGTGTGTGTGTGTGAGGTGGAACCTGCCCACTGGGAACTGGAATGAAATTGAACAACTTCCTTCACATAGCCCAGTAATCAAATGCTGGGTGTATACTGTGCAGCCATATATCCTGTTACAGTCCTGTGAGCTGCCTGTTGTCCTGCACACTTGCTGAGCATTCAGTCCTTCTGATTTTGGTACCTTTCAATCTGACAATGTGAGGGTGTTCACACATTCACACTTAGCAAGGTCAGCCTGCTGTCCATGTTCAGTGTTACAGTTTTGTTCCCTACTCACACCAAATTGGATGTGAGATTCATGCTGTTCCATGGGGTATACAAAACCTTTCTCCTCATCCCCAGTGATCCATCACAGCACCTGTAGACTCAGGCATGGTGGAGCAGCCTCAGTCCCCTCCTGCGGCTTGACAAACCACCTTGTGCTCTCCTGCACCATGGGCTGACCTGCGAAGAGGAATGGAGGTGCTGATGCTATGGCTTTTTGCCTTCACAGAGGACAGTAAGCACTAAACCTTGTGTGCCGAACGCTCTCGAGCTGACAAAAGTGGGTTTGGGACAGATTGCTCTTCCCTGGCTCCTGCACGCTGCAGTAGAAGGTGACTTCCTTCCTTCACTCCCTAGCCTCCATTTTTTGCACATCTCCTGACCTCACCATGTTCTAGTACCATCAGCTCTGCCCGGTGTATTTTTACTAGCAGGCTGGAGGTATGTGCTGATCAGCCTGCTGGTGGGTAGTGCTGAGCTCTGCAGCCCGTCTCTCTGTAAGGACATTGTTGTTGAAGGCCTCATCTCTCCAGCCATTTATTTCCACAAGACCTCTAAAACCAGAGTGTCTTCAAGGGTGTTACATCTCTGAGAACATTAGTTGAAGTTAAATAATGTTTTATAACATTGCTGATACAGCTGAGGGTGTAGCAGCCCTGAATCTCTAGAAAATTAGACTAAAATCATTCAGACAAAAAGGAGTACCCCAACAGACATTGGGAAGACTTTTGAAGAAGAGCAACATGGAGTATCTTTTCTGGAAAGACTGAGATTGTGACATCCTGAGGATAAAACTGTAGTTATTGAATAGTGAGCTTCAAAGGACAGAGTTTGTTCTGTAAGTATATGTGACATTTTATTTCCCTTGACTATATTTTGTTTTAGAAGTAATCATAGAACTATCTTCTCTCTAATGGGAATAGAGTTTGGGAGGTGTACAGTGAGAAAATGCATGCCGTTTGCTCAGATGGGTGGGAGATTTTATTGGACTCTCGGAACCTCTCTGCTTCAGTCTCTAAGGTCCATGTCATGAGATCATCACATGCCTGTGAAATTGACCCAAAAAAAGCTTAACATTCCCTTTAAAACATTAAAATATTTCTTATTAATGTCCTATTCTTAGCTGAACTGAGCGAGCACAATTGTCTTTAAGTGTCCCATCTTGCTTGCTTTGCAGCCCAGACGCCAGTTGCAGTTGGTATATTTTGCTTCAGATTCAGAACTGCAGTGACCCTGCCAAATAGTTTCTTAGTTGCATTTAAAAATAAAAGGGCTGTTTATACATCGCAGTCCACAGAGGGTCTGAAATCTGTGTCCAAGATGAATACAAATCATAGACAAAAAGTGTTTTGTTGGAAGGCTTCACAAATATGGAACTGATTACTGCTAGACAGCACAGATTTCCTTCTGTAAGATGGAACTGATATAATTCCTTCCTGACAGCTAGAAGTTATAATTGAGTTGGGTTTTTTTCTGCATTTTATACTTTACCAACTTTCAAAATGAGCAAGAGGGATGGAATCCTAATCCATCTGCAACTGATGGGAATTCTGCCTGTAAACCAGAATTTAAATCTAAATATCCATCCAACTGCCCAGTTACTGTGGAGGTACTGCTAACAATTTCATAGCTGTGGTTTTGTCAAGCATTTAACTTCATGTGGATTAAACTATCTCTTACAGGTCAGTGACAGAATTCAATTTGCAGATTGACCACAGATCTTTTTTTGGGGAAGAGCCGATTTCATTGTGACATTGAGGAAAATGAAATTCTCATTTTTAAATGTTGCCCTACCAGCTCTTTGTAACCCATCCAGCAGAACTCAACCCTTGTGTGGTACTTGTGGTGTCTCCAAGAGGTTTTCTCAAAAGTTAAGGGTCCGAGTTGGTGAAAACCAACCCCTTACCCTTGTAAAGCATTTGTCTGTCAGGCTGCAGGACTGCTTCTTCCACCTGGTTTTCCCTTTGTTCATTCTCATTTGCCACCCCTTATCCGCTGCCTACAGAAATCAGACAGTGCTTTGCTTGATGATGATCAGGAAAGCAGGGAACAGAGAATGATCTGGGTGATGGATGCTCTGGTTTTGCAGCCCTGTTTGCTCTCTGGGGCTAATTTGCTGCTGTTACACAGCCAGACAGGCAGCCTCACCCAGCTGAACATTCTCCATCTTCCAGGCTGTGTCCTGAATTTGGTGGCAGTTTGAGTCAGGGTAGGCTCATAGCTTGTCACTGTGTGATTGACTTATTTTCCTCCCTGTGTGACAGTTTTTAAAGAGCAGAGTTATATCCACAGTGGAGAGCATATCATAGATTCACAGATTTATTTGGGTTGGAAGGGACCTTAAAGCTCATTCAGTTCCAATCCCCTGCCACAGGCAGGGACACCTTCCACCAGAGCAGCTTGCTCCAAGCCCCGTCCAACCAGGCCTTGAACACTGCCAGGGATGGGGCAGCCACAGCTTCTCTGGGCAGCTTGTTCAAGATGTTCAGTCTTTCATGATACTGCTAAGAAGGTCCTTCCTTTCTTTTCATGACCTCAGATAGATCTTTCTCTCCCGATCTTTTTCTCCCTTCTCTCATGTTAGTTATCTCCCCACTGTATGCAGATCTCTTAATTATTATGTCTGGAGGATGGAAGGTGTCCCTATCAGGGTACAGTGTAATTTGTAAATAGGAGAAAAGGAATGTTTTTCTGTGGGCTGTCAAAGGCTGACTTGGCTCTGGGAAGAAGTATGTTGTTAGCCTAAAATAGAAACAATTTGACAGGGTAAGTTTTCCTAATGGATGTCACATTTTTATGCCATGAGTTTCCTCTTTTTTAATTAAAAGTAATTCTGAGGAATCACTGAGTATCCACTTTGCACTGATAAGTAGGGATGTCTGTATTAGCATGGAAAGGGCTGTGTGGAATGGGATGGGTGTAGCTTTCTCCAACTTGCCTACAAAGCTAAAGAAATG